TCCTCATCAGTTTGTCTTCTCCGATTTCGTGATTGATTATAGGTGAGGTTCATCCCATCTTGGTTGCGTCGCGCTAATCGTTCTTTCTGAAGGCAATTCCTTCGTTGGATGTCTCGTGGCAATTCGCGTTCACACATCAACTCCTGGATTGGTTACTGTCGTTTGTCGCGAACAATGATCACAGGTTACAAAAAGAAGAAGCTCGGACATCCTTCAGAAAAACTTTCTGGCGACGTGCCTCGTGCGACCTGGAGGGCCGTCCTTTTCTCTGAAGTCGTCTTTCCCATTGTGATGGCCATCCTTTTCGTCATCGCCTACATGTTCGTGAAATCTTTCCCAGTGAATGGTACTCAACCGCCTTCACCATTGATTCGTATCGCCGTTATCTCGTTGGGACCTATCGTTTGGAATGCTGCTGTGTTGTTGACACTTTTCTTGATCTCTCTGTTCCTTGGCCCAATGTTGGACCCGCTTTTCCCAATGTTTGGATCTGTGATGGCGTTCATAGCTCATGCTCTCGGTGCGGTAGGAATGATTGGATTCTTCGAGTTCCTGGTAAGCGCTTATACTTAGATTGTGATGTTAACTAACTTTTTTGTCAACACTTAGTGGTTCCTCGAACTTTGGGACGTTTCACATGCTGTCCTTGGTCTCATCACCGTCATTGCAATTCAACGCGCGGTTCATAAAGTTCTCATTGCCGTTTTCCTTTCACGAGAATTCAAGCACGACGAAACGAATCGCGCCTGGTGGACTGGAAGATGGTATGGGCGAGGGCTTGGAGCCCACGTTATGTCTCAGCCCGCTCGTGAATTTGTGGTCAAGATTATCGAACTTTGCCTATGGAGCTCAGATTTAATTATCGGACATGTCCTGTTGTTCATGCTGACTCCTCCTGTGCTGATCCCCTACTTCGATCGTGTGCATGCCACGTTGCTATGTATGTGTTGTCCTTTGCTTTTTGAAATGTCGAGCTCATGTTTTTCAGTTTGGCTACGTCCGTCGAAGCAAATACGGGCACCGTTATACTCCATTAAGCAGAAACGACAACGTCGTTGGATAGTAAGTGATCAGGATTCTTACTTGTTTGTATGCTTCATGGCCGACTGGTTCTCAGATTATTAAATATGGTACTATCTATATCCTTGTCCTCGTCATCTTTATAGCATTGATAGCTATACGTGAGTGGCCTTCATCATCCAACCTTTTTGTGGTTTTCTCACCAGCGTTTTGCAGCTGCCATCTTCCGGACGGCTCTCCACCTAAACTGTTCACTCTGCAACAGTATTTAATGTACATTGGATATAGTACCTTCAACGCTTTACGATCAACGACCATTTGATATAATACACCCATCATAGACTTTCTACTACGCATTGTACTCAGCTGTTTTCATATGCTAACTCTGTTTTTATGGACTCTTCCTTCCTTTGGTCGTTTTTCGTTGTCGTCAGGCATTCCATAGCCTATTCATTCCATGCGGACATACCATATTGTACTGAAATATCCATATACAGTTTCTTGATCCTGGAGCAAACAACGGAAACCCTCAGAGACTGGGTCTGGAGTAACTTGCTTCACCAACGTATTTCGGACTAGTTCAGACTCCTGTGTTTTCTTACCTTCCGAAACGCATGATCCGGAAATAAATTCTGCCTGGCAGGAACCCATAGGTCAAGAGCACATTCAATCTTGAATTCCGAACGAATTTACTAATAAAAACAGCGGTGGAAATTGGGAGGTAGCAGCTGGGTAGCAGATGGTAGCCGGGTGGAATTTGAGTGGTTGGTTCATTTTCTTTGAATATCAACTTTACCCTCTTCCACCTCGCGCTTGCAGCGTATGGAATTCGAACTTACACAAGGATTGTTGGAACGTGATATTTGAAGGTGACGTCGACTACATATGATTGCATTCATTCGGGTTTCCCTTTCATTTAACCGTTTATGTTTTCCTCATCCTGGATCCATCCAGATCTATCCGACCCACAATAAGTACTACAGCGATGGGTTATGAAGAGGGTGAACATGAAAATAGGCGTAGACCGTCTTTTCACTACTAGTACCCGTCGCTCGTGCGTTAAAGCCTAAACCTTCTCTCATAACCTTCTAGCATCATCCATCACCATAATAAAACGGCTAGTGTTTTCTAGCGCAACTAAGAGTAGATCATGAGGGCTAAAGAATCATCTGCTACTGTTTCGCCCTATTACACATGCCAACAATGCCGAAGGTTGGATTAGGTCGTCAGGCAGGTTCCAGCTCCATCTTGTGATTCTTTTGTTCCCCTCCCAGATCAGCAACGGCAAGTTGCTTTTAATAACTGAAAGGACTAGGGTTTCGGACCTTGATGATATATAATGTAGGCATGGTGGAGATATCGATGATGTAGGAGGATATAGGTGATATACTTGGGATGACACGTATGCGGTATACCTCAAGGTACACTTTGTTTTTCAAGTTAGTATACCGTTAGTGGTCACGCATCCGCATGAAAGCTAGCAGGGGTGGTGCATGGTACGTCCTCTTCTTTTGATTTGAATTTCGATGGATCTAAATTTGGGTAATATGGTTTAAAAGCTAGGCCTCTCGAGAAGAGGGGGTTCAACTTCTGCAAGGAGTTTTCCCTCTACCGGCGTTTTCGAGTGTTCTCTCTGTCTTTCTGTCAACTTTCATCTTCAACTTGCCTTGAACCATGAAGTTCACCACTGCTGCCTCTCTTGTCTCGGTCGGTTTAGTGTCCACCGTTGATGCTGCTAGGACTTTCACGGTGAGTTCTCTAAACTTTTGACTTTGGCATGGTCAAGTATATCAATATACTAACTACCGTTTGGGATTTTTCTCCCTGTAGGTCTATAACGGATGTCCTTTCACGATCTGGTGAGTTGTTGTTGTGATTGGTACCAGAAAATTACCAGTGCTAACGGACTCCTGCTCCTCTTCTCTAGGCCTGCGGTACGATTTCGCGTTCATATAAACTCAGATTCGCTCATGTGTCTTTCTGCCCACTTCCCTTCCTTTGTCGTTTCTTGTTTCATTCTCTTCTGCCGTCTTCTCATATGTTCGCTGTTCTCGTGCTGGTGCAACCATATCCAATTATAGATGTTCACCGGCGTCAACCAAGCAACAGCTTCGCCTGATTATACCACCGGGTAAGCAAAATCACCCAACTTTTCTCCGAGTGGTCCATTCCCTGATCTAGGTTCAATGATTCTTACAACCCGTTTTTCCTATAACCACTTCATGACATCCTCGGTCATACGTGATACGCAACATAAACAACTCGGACAACGATGGAATTATTCACACATGGATAATGATATGTAGCTGGGCAGCCAATGCCTACACTGCCGTCAGTTTCTCCGTGCCCGATAATTGGCAGGCTGGTCGTATTTGGGTGGGTTATTTAATAGTGGAACTTTTGTGTGACAGTTGCTGATGAGCATGCTTTAGGCCCGAAGAGACTGTGATTTCAGTGTCAACCCGGGACCGAACTCATGTCTTGATGGTGGATGCAATGGAGGATTAGTTTGTGATCCTACGACTGGTACTGTACGTTGGGGTTTGTTTTACTTGGGAGGTAGAGCGACGTGCTGACTGGTCCCCCTTGCACTTTTCTCGCTGCCCTTCAACGTTCATACATTCCTAGGGTGTTCCCCCAGCCTCACTCGCAGAGTTTACTCTGTCCGGTGCCGGAGGCCTGGACTACTTCGATAGTGCGTGTTCTATAAACCCTTCTAGATTCTCAACTCAAACTCTTTCCGCAAGTCTCCTTTGTCGATGGATACAATCTTCCTATAAGGTAAGAAGAAACCCCCTACATACAACCCTTTCGGACGTTAACGTACAGCCCAATCCATTCATTCCTGGTGGCCTTTTTCTTCTTGCTTGTATTTATTATGTCTTTGTTGTGCCTCGTCCGTCTAGCATCACCAACAACGTGAACTGCCCCGCGCCCATCTGTGCAGTTGACCTTGGGCCCGATTGTGAGTATATTTTTATTTCGTTGCTCAGATTTATCTCATGGACGTGATTTTATTTATATACATTTTATCACAGGCCCGGCCCCACTTGCTGGTCCTTTCGACTCTACCGGGTTCCCTGTTGGATGCAAGTCCGCTTGTGTGAGTCCTTTCTCCTTTTTTCTCCCCCCCCCCCGGGTTCCAGGACCAAATAAATTGACACCAACTTTTTTTTTTTCATTCACTGTAGGACGCGAACCTCGACGGTGACCAACGTAAGTCGACCACTTCCTTTTCGGCGCTCGCTTTTCCGTCTTCATGTCTAAGGATCCATGAACTCGACTAACCCGTTTACCTATCTATGTGCTCAATAACTTTATCTACCTCTACGCTTAACCTCAACGACAGAAAACTCCCCCAACTGCTGTTCGGGCCAATACGATACCCCGGCGACGTGCCCAGTGTCTGGGGTCGAGTATTATAGTTATTTCAGTGCGTGAATTTCTACCTTTGTGTGTTTCTTTAATGTTAGATTGCTGATGATTAACCCTCCCTTCCTTTTTTCTCCTCCTTTCACTTTGCTCTTTTTACTATATCTCCCCTCCCTCTTCTACGCCTTCCCCTTCCCCTTTCTTTTCCTCTTTCAAACAGAGGACGCATGCCCCGACGCCTACGCCTACGCCTACGACGAGTCCAGCGAAAGCGCGCTGTGGACCTGCGCCGACTCCCTCAACGCGGATTACACTATCACATTCTGTCCTCCTGCTTAAAGACTCTCTTTCTAACTGAAAATAAACTTGTTCCCCCACTGGTACCGCTCTATTTCTTGTATATAGGTATATACTACGCAGTGCAATTGAAAACACTTGAAATGAAATAAGAGGGGATTGTATTTTGATACTGTGATTATTACTCCAGGGTACAGTTGAAAAAGAAATACTTGGAGCCTCAGGGAGGAGGAGGTTGTGTGATAGGTTCTGATGAGTAAGATGGTTGGTATCAAAAAGATCTGGATGCCATACCTCGATTGACTTCCCACGGCAAGATGGCCGAGTGGTTAAGGCGTGTGACTCAAGTTATTCCTTTAACTTCCTAATTCTCATGGGCGAATGTCCGCGTGGGTTCAAATCCCACTCTTGTCATTTTTTGAGCCCTGTATGATTTTTGATCAGGAGATGAATTGTTTTTTGAGTGTTTTTTGAGGTTTCTTTCTGGTTTTAGTTTGTTGTTCATTGTTCTAGTTTTTTTTGTTTGATTTGTAGTTTTGGATATGGAGTTCATGTAGGTGGTAGGTAGTAGGTAGTCGGTGTGGTCCTAGGATATGTAGAACGACTGGTCTGACTCTCGATGGAAGGTATATTCTCCAGAGGTCAACGTGTTTAACGTCTTCGACGTACACTAGTTGTAGTCTTATATCTTGCTTTAGAAATTATCAGGAGGGTATTGTATGTACTATGTAGTAACTTCCGTTAATCTTTCATAAACTCCTAGTACACCCCTCTTTGACACCAACCGGTTGATTGACCGTTGACCCCCTCCCTCGCTCATCGACATCAACCAATCAGTGGAACGTTGACCCCCCTCCCTCACCGACCCCCTCATCGGCCGATTCTTAGTCCCCAGTCCCCTTTATGGCGTCGTTGTTAGACTATGTACATACTTATCGACCACTATTTCGACCCAATTTCGACCGGCTGTCGAAAGATTGAAGGGTCATCGGAACCAAATCAATCCAGTACCCAAGGTACTAATGTAACTACTAAGTAACAGCTGCGAGGAAAGAGAAGAGAATCACTAAGTATAATTACAATTCATCAGGGTTTCAGATAAACAAACTCACTATACTTCGGCCCACCCCCACCCTCTGGAACAGTCCATGTTATATCCTGCGACGGGACTTTGATATCACAGAGTTTACAGTGGATACAGTTCTGTGCGTTGATTACGAGTTTTTTGCCGTTCCAGGATTCGTCTTGGGAGTCGGAGCCGCCGGGTTCACCGTCGGTAGGAGAGTGGTGGTGGTGGTGGTGGGTATCATCATCATCATCGATGTACTCGTATACACCCGCGGGACACGCTCGTGAGAGTAACCCGGCGTAGTCGCTGATGTTGGTTTTGACGTGGGTTCGGCGGAGGGAGGGGGGGGAAGTTACTCTGGGGACGATCTCTGTGTTTTCGGTTTCGGGTGTTCCTTCTTCGTGGATCTCGCTGAGCTTGACATCTAGTACGGATTCTGCGCCTCCGAAATCGGTGTGGGAGGAGAGAGGAGTATCTCCTGGTCGACCGAGGACTCTTAGATGCTCCGGCTGGTCTTCCGCGTGGGAGGTACCGGTCAACATGAGTGAAGTAAGGAGGTCCGTAGACAGAGGTGGTTGGAAGGGGGGGTAAGGGATCGGGGTGTGGGAGGTGGATGTACCAGTCCTTATGGAATCCAAACTCCTCCCTCCATCCAAACACGCCCTCCTCTCTTCCTCGTTCTTGGTATGTCTGAACGTCCACGGTGTTCGCCCTTTGAGCAATAGAGAGTCGACGCCGGAGTACAACACACCCCCGAGGACACTGAGATTGCGTTTGGACAACACGGGAGAGGAGAATGAGGGACGGAGATTTCGGGTTTCGTGCAGCTCGGTGTGGATCCACGAGGAGAGGAAGGAGGTGGTGTACGTGGATGTGTCTATTGGGTGGGAACTGCCACTATTGCACCCCTCCCAGACACCCTGGGCACCCAGGATCCCCATCCCCATGGCGGTGTGCACGCCTTTGATTTTGGCGACGTTGACGGTGCCGGCGGAGTCGCCGATGAGTGCGCCGCCGGGGAAGTGGAGAAGGGGAAGGGATTGGAGACCGCCTTCGGTGAGTACGCGTGCGCCGTATGCGATTCGTGTTGAGGGGGATAAGAGACGATGAATGTATGGATGATGTTTCATCATCTGAAAATCTCTATACGGGCTCTGATATGGGTTTTCCCAGTCTGCACCGACGACGAGACCGAGGGAGACGAGGTGGTTGTCCATGTGGTATACCCACCCACCGCCATAGGTGTTTAAATCGAGTGGGTAACCTAGAGTATGGGTTATTGACCCTGGGGAGTAAAGGGGGTTGTCGTCGGCTAGTCTCCAGACTTCTTTGACACCGAACCCGTAGGTTTGGGGATCACTTTCTTTTCGGAGGTGGTATTTGTTTATCAGGGTTTTTGTTAGGGATCCATGGGCTCCTTCGGCGAATAGTGTTGCTCGGGCGCGGAAAAACATTCCTGGTTCGTAGTTTGTGGTAGTTGAAGGGTGTTTTGGTATACCGACGTCGTTGGTTAGGATTCCGAGCACTGCTGGTACACGGGGTGGTGGTTGTGGTGACTGTATTGCAATCCTCGTTACCTCTCTGTTCCACCTCCCTTCCCAACCAACCCACGGACTCTGATACTCCTCATCACTAAAGACCACACCAGCACCAGCAAACCCAGGATAAATCTCCACCCCATAGTACTCTTCCGCTATTCTCCCTAGCCATCTAGTGAGGGCACTCAACGAAATGACAAAATTCCCTTGATTGTTCATCTGTGGTGGATGTGGAATGGGATATTTTGATTTTTCGGTTAGCCAGACCATCCGGCTTTCTGTTGCTTTTACACCGAGCGGGGGCTCACCGCACCCGTAGATCTCCTCGTATTGAGACGGGTCGGGGCCTAAGAGATCGTAGAGAGCTCGTGGTTCGAGAACACAACCAGAGACGATATGTGCACCGACTTCGCTGCCTTTTTCCAAGACGACTACACGGAGAGCTGCAGAGAAAATGGATTATTGAGGGATATTGTTAAAAGTAGGCTGGAACGCACATTGTGATGATGATCCAGCTTCACGCTCAAACTGCTTTAACCGTATCGCTGCAGCCAACCCGGCAGGTCCAGCTCCTACAATCAACACATCGCAGCTGTCTACAGCGCGTGGAACTGTGCGCCTGTTGAGCGCTGCACGCGATGAGCTGGTGAATAAACGGCGTTGAAGTCGTTGGAGTCGAATCATTCTATCCGTACAGTGAAGAAATGGTCATGTTGCCGGACTTTCGGCATTTCATCTGCCATAGCAACTTGCGCAGCATATAAACTGTCATGTCGCCAGTTGTCGAGTACTCTCAAGTACAGTCCTCAGAAATATTCTACTGTTATGAGTCGGTTTACACAATACGCAGAAGTGAGCGTTTTAGCTGGCTTCAATTATTATTTATTGACTCTCCTAGGACTCGACTCGACTGACTGCCAGTAGGACTTCAACGCATCGCCTACGATGCTGACACAGAGCAATACACATTCCAAGACGAAAACGGGAGACTGTACTACTCAGCGTCGGGGGAGTCGTATGGCCACTTGACCATCGTCGGCAGTGCGGCCTGTGCTAGCGAAGAACCTAAACGGTCTCAGACTTCCCCCCCAACACTCCCCGCTCCCAAATCCTTTTACGACATTCTCCCTCCGGAATCAATCGTCTCCGCTGGGTCTACCACTTCCCTTAAGTCTTCCCCTTTCTCCTCCCCCACATCCCCTTCTTCCTCCCCCTCCTCGCCGTCTCCCCGTTCTCGGTTCATCGCAGCCGCAAAACGGTCGACGATGCCGCGCATGCAGAGTGCTGTGCATGGATTGATCAAGAGGTCAGTTACCTTGGGTAAGAAACAGGGTAATCAAACACGTACACATACATCTGGGCATCAAGATCAAGATGATGACCGGGCTGGGTTGTTAAGAACCCATTCGGTGCTGAGCCGCTCGAGTACGGTGAGGACGAGTCAGTCCGAGAGTCTTACGCTTGTAGAAGAGACAAGGTCGAGGTACTAACGATCTCCCCAAATGTCGAGTATGCAAGATGATTGATGATATGAACAAGGAAAATAATGTACCAAATCTTTCTGTATGTACAACAAGTAACTATGGATTGTATGTACAAGATTATGTGTAAAAAGTTGGATACAACATATGTACCAGAACTTCAGCTTCAGCTGTCAAAACAAAACTTGCTGTCTGCATTCAGACCTCAGACGCCAAACAGGGAATCAACTTCATCACCAACAACCTGCTCCTCCTCAGACACCCCTGCAGCAGCCAAACTCTCCAAAACCCCAACCCCAACCTCACCCTCACCCTCATTAACACCACTCAACCCCACCACCCTCATCCTCCGATCCAACTCCACCCTAAACCCATCATTCTCTCTCTCCAAAAACCTCACCCTATCTCCCATATCCTTAATCTCCCCCGAAAGATGCATATTCGCGTTAACCTGCATGATCAGCTCGTTCGAGATATATTTCCGTGCGCATTCTGCTGTGTGGAGTTTTTCTGCTGATGCGTGGAGGTTTTGTTCGGATGTGCGGAGGTTTTCTTTTAATTCGCAGAGTTTTTCTTCTGAGGCGTGGAGTTTTTCTCCTAACGCGCGGAGTTTTTCTTCTAATGCCCTTTTCTCGGTGTTCCCTGTCATCACTACGTGTCGGAGGTGGGTTACCTGTGCATGGGATTCTTGAAGCTTCTTCGAAAGGGCGGTCTGGGTGTTTTGGAGGCGGGTGATCTGCGTACGAGACTCGGTTCGGGAATCCTGGATCTGGGATTGGAGATGGGTGGTTTGTGCTGTGAGAGCTGTTATGTGTTGGTCTTTGTGTTTGAGTTCTTTGGAGAGGGAGATGATCTTGGTTTCTGCGTGGAGGTGGACTGCATCATCACGGCCCTGGGCCTGGAGGAATTGCTTAGAGGTCTCTGCAAGTTTATGTTCTAATTCTTTGTTTCTTCTACGCTGCTCGGTTAATTGTTCTTTGTACACCTCGCTCTTGTATTTCTGCTTCCCGAGCATGGCATGGAGCTTCGTGCATTGATTGGAGGACGAAGATGTGGAGGAAGATGTAGAGGAAGAAGATGGAGGGGAAGATGAAGGGGAAGATGAAGATAAAGGGGAAGGGGAAGATGAAGATGATGAAAATGAAGAGTCCACCGGCATCGGGACTACTAGAGATGTCGATGATAGTCGTTGACTCGTTTGATTAGTAGACCTTGATTGCAAACCCGACGACGACGACGACTGCCGTCCATCCTCTCCAAGTCGCACAATCATCCTCTCTGACTGTTCAAGTGGTAGATCCTGGTTCTGGTTTGGGTTCTGGTCCT